CTTTGGGTCCTCCCAGCTGACATTCAGGGCATGAGGCACAAAAATTGCATATTTTTCTGTGTATCCCCGGCCAGAAGAACCTGAGGGCCACTCTCTCCAGCGTCTTTTCCCTCCCCAAGTGTCCCACACACAGCACCGAGTGTGCTGGGTGGAGAACCATCTGGCGGAACTTTTTGGGGACCAGGAGCTGTCTCTTGCATTTGGGGGTCCCACATTACCCTGTAAAGCGGTTCATTCCGGAGCTTGAAGTGGGGCCACTACTTTAGTTGTCAAGATTTATGCTTCTTTCCATCAGAGAAGGCTATCTGCTCCCATGCCCAGCTTAGGCTTGGTCTACACTAAACCCCCAAATCGAACTAAGGTACGCAACTTCAGCTATGTGAATAACGTAGCTGAAGTTCGAAGTACCTTAGTTCGAACTTACCTCGGTCCACACGCGGCAGGCAGGCTCCCCGTCGACTCCGCGGTACTCCTCTCGTCTAGCTGGAGTACCGCAGTCGACGGCGAGCACTTCCTGGTTCGACTTATCGCGTCGAGACAAGACGCGATAAGTCGAACCCAGAACTTCGATTGCCAGCCGCCGAACTAGCGGCTGGGTGTAGACATACCCTCAGAGTCTGGTCCTGTTGCTGTTACTGCATGAAATCTTCATTCTTAGGTAGCCATATAGGACTTACACCTTTAGGTGCCCCTGAGCTAGCAGTCAGCTGGGTTGACATTCCTGGCTGATAGGAGGTACCTTCCCCGTGGTCTTCCATCTTGCCCTGCCCCATAAACCGCCTCTGGGATTGGGTTGGTTTCTATTGGGGGGGTCTCCGCTCCACCATTTCAGGAGCCCCCTAACCATTTTCAGTCCTGCCTTAGTATCCTGGGGTAGACCAGGGTGCCCAATAGCCTTATCCAGTAGGTCTTGGTGTAGCCTCTTACCCTCAGCTGCACTTCCGTAGTGGGGTAGGGTTAAATGTCCCAGTGTATGCACTGGAGATCGATAGGAGTGCTTGACATGTCGAGAGACTCAACAAAGTTTTCTTGCACGATTGTTTCGTTGCATCTTGAGTCTACCAGGCTTGTTACCTTAGACCCAATGACCCATACTAGGATTAGCATCTTGGCTGGGTTCTGTCTGCAAGCCCTAGTGCATGCAGTCCAGGTCTGGCCATAGCAGTCCATAAAATGGCATTCGTACCTAAAATGTCCTTTCTGTCCACACTCAAAACAGTTGCCCTTTGGAGCTGCGGCTGGCTGGCCCTTCTCTGGGGTTGTGGGGTTTCCCAGGGAGCGTGTACCCCCCTTCCCAGGGACCGTGGTCCCCTTGCAGCTCCACCTTGGTGGCGGGGGTCTGGCCCCTGGATGGGAGCAATCTGAAGTGGAGCATCCAATTCAGCAATCCTGGGCTCTCCCCCCGCCAGGCCTCCACTATGTGTCAGTGTCCTGAGTTCAGGTGCCTCGGTCCTAAGTATCAGCGAGGCCGGACCCTCTGCAGCCACATAATTCTCCATTAGGGTTATGGCATCTGCAGTGCTGCTGGTCAATGGTGCTTCATCCATCCTCTCCCACCGGCCAGGAGAACCTAGATGAACTGCTCCAGCACGATAGGCTCCGCTACTTTTACTCCAGTCTGCTTCTCAGGGTCCAGCCAGTGCCAACACTGTTCTTTCAGGCACTGTGCCACTACCCCGACCAGGCTCCCGGTGGGTATTTTTCCTTCTTGAATCATTGGTGGAATGTCTCAGGGTTGATAACCATGTAATCTAAAATGGCTGCTTTTACTTTAACATAATTCAGTGCCTCTATGGGGTCCAGGGTCCTGTAGGCGACTAGGGCAGGTCCCATCAAATACGGGGCTATGAAGATGGCCCAGTGTTCTTATGGCCAGCACGCTGCAGCGGCCGGCTCCTCAAAGGTGGCCAAGAGGCTTCTGGCTCACCCTCGAGACCCATTTTCATGAGCTTGACGGGCAGCCCAGGGGGCGGGACATCACCAGAGTGTCCTGGCAACCCGGCGTTAGATGCCCTCTGGGGCTTCAGGATCTGCTACCGTTGCATAGGCATTGCTGTTGCTCCTGCTGCCTTGCTGCCAGCTCTCGGATTAGCTGCTGCTACTGGGCTGCTTGCGGTTGCTGCTGGCAGCTATCAGTTGTAGTAGCTGCCCCTTGTTGTGGCTGGTTTTGGACTGCCTGCTGTTGTTGGCTCGCTATTATCCATTTAAGCAGCTTCTCTGTGTCCATGGTCTCCTTTGGGCCAGTTTTGTCGGTAGGTGCGCCATCAATCTATCGGAACTGGGTTGATGCCCATGTTCACCACCAGTTGTCAGGGTCTTCGGTGTTCAAGCCCCAGCGATATTGCCTAGTGTCGAGAGTCTAAGGCTGGCATTAGGGGAACCCAGGACCTCCTACTCCAGCGGGTAGGAGTTTCAGATCATTGAAGATCTGCTGGTTAAGTTTGCTCTTGTACCTGCCTATTCTTGTGCTTTCAAGCACAAGACATGCTGAACCTCCGGGACTTTGCAGCCCAAATTAATTCTCCTGATAGGGCTAGTGATCTTACCAAAACTAGCCAGGTCTCTAGCCAACTGCTTATTTCCTAAAAAAGGAGGAACATTAGAGACAGTGACTTTAACAGCAGGTGTTGGGAGCAGCAAACAGGGACAAAAGCACCTTGCACAACAATCCCCTCCACAATCACCTGCTCAACAAGGCTAAGCGAGGCAACAAACACAACAACAACCTTACTCATGTGGAAGGTGTACATCACATTTTTAAACCCAATCACCTTCCCCACAGCTAGAACACATTCCCCGCCAGAGGCAGAGTCTGGAGGCAAAATCCACAACCCAGGGCCATGCGTTAAACCTTCAGAATCTGCAACAAACTGAGGTCTCTGTCCCCCCAGGCCAGAGAACAGACAAAAGCCGGCTAAAACAAAAGAAGTCCTGAAATTAAATCCCAAACTCCAAAACTAAAACACAAAACCCCATATCCCCAGCAGAAAGAACAGCAAAGCACACCCACTCTCCAGAGGCAGATTAAGGTTTCGTGGGGCCCTGGGCCAGAGCAAGTGTGGGGGGGGCCCTCCCCACCCCCCTTCCACCCCTTTCACCTGCAGCCCCACCATGGCCCCACCCTGTTCTGCCCCTTCCACCTGCGGCCCCGCCCCGTTCCACCCACAGCCACGCCCCTTCCACTGCCCCCAAACACACATTGCGGCCTGCAATCCATTTGCTCCTTTCTGCCCATCCGAGACCGGAGAAGCTCTGTCCCCCCTGCCATGGCCCTGGGGCCGCAGCAGGGAGTGACAGCTCCCCCAACCCTGAGGCCATGGCAGGGAGCAAGAGTCGGGGAACTGGGGTTGGGGTGCGGAGGCTTCCCCCATGCCTCCCAGCGCTTCTGCCAGGAACAGGGTCAAGGCACAGGGGCTTCCCCTGCCCTGCCTGGTGCTGCTACCTGGGTTGGGGTGTTGGGGCTTCCCCTACCCCACAAGCCCAGCGCCTCTGCCAGGGCTCCTTTCTTCCGCCACTCAGTGGCAGATCTTTTTCCAGGGCCCCCCAATTGGCCAGGGCACGGGCCCCATCGGTCCAGTGGCTAATCCACCCCTACCACTCTCAGCCTCACTCCTACAATCCTCTGAGAGAGAGAGCGAGAGAGAGGGAGAGAGAGAAACAGGAAAATGGAGAGAGAGAAAAACATAGAGAGAAACAAAGAGATGGTGATGGATATGTGCTTTCTACAGGGATGTTTGACACTAGTAAATCAACTCTGAGAATATGGCAGGTGGTTGAATCAGAACCCAGGGCCCTGGTGCTTCCCATTACCTAGGAGTGCCTGGGAGCAGACAACAGCAGGTACAGTGTTGCAGCCACACCTGTGCTTTTTCGTTAATTTGTCTGGTGACAGAGCAGAGCAGTTTGTGGACAGGTAGTGAGAAGAGTGCATTCCTCTAGCATGGGAAGAATGACTCTTGCGATTTCTAAGCTCTGGAGTTTTTAATAAAAGTTAAACATTTGTTAGGGAAATCCAGGTGAGTCCTGGCAGTGCTTCAATGCACAAGAGAATAGAAGGAAGATAGGATGGGCAAGAAGAGACTAAGGCTATGTTTACACTCACTGCGGTATAACTTATGTCATTCGGGGGTGTGAAAAAGCCACCCCCTTGAGCAACGTAAGTTACACCGACCTAAGGATTGGTGTAAGACAGTGCTATGTCCGCAGGAGAGCTTCTGCCGCCAACATAGCTACTGCCACTCACGGGGTTGGAGTAGTTAAGCTGATGGGGGAGCTCTCTCCTGTCTCCTTAGAGCGGTTACATTAGAGCAGCAGTTCTCAAACTGTGGGTTGGGACCCCAAAGTGGGTCATTCCCCTATTTAAATGGGATCACCAGGGCTGGTGTTAAACTTGCTGGGGCCCAGAGCTGAAGCCAAAGCCTGAGCCCCAGCGCCCAGGGTTGAAGCTCAAGGGCTTCAGCCCCCCCACCCAGGGCTGAAACCTTTGGGAGTCAGCTTTGGCCCCCCCGCCTGGGGTGGCGGGGCTCAGGCTTCATCTCTGGCTCCCTGCCCAGGCCGGGGGATCTCGAGCTGATCTCAGGCTTCGGTCCCCCCGCCCAGGCCAGCGGATCTCAGGCTTCGGTCCCCCGTCCTGGGGTCGTGTCATAATTTTTGTTGTCAGAAAGGGGTCACAGTACAATGAAGTTTGAGAACCCCTGCATTGGAGAGCTTACAGTGTAGCCATAACCTAAAGCAATGGGGTAAGAGCAAATGGCTGAGTGAGGGGGAAAAAAGTGTGACAGAGGAGGGAGTGAAAGAGAAGGGGAGAGACCCAGGAGAGAGAAGGCAGTGGATGAGAGGGAGAGAGGGTTTCTGCACTGGATGGCAGAGTGAAACAGGATACACGTGTGTGACATAGATACTGGGAATCCATCCCTGGCACTGGCCCATCCGGAGGGAACAGGAGGAGCTGGCTCTATTTGGATCATAATAAACTGGAATGAGGGTGTGGGCTGCTTCTCCTCACCCCCCCCCCTCTCATTCCATCCGCATTATACCACCAAATCCTGCTACTTCTCTCTGTTTTTTTGCTAAAATCGTATTTTGAAGACAACCAAAAGTGGAACATTTTCTGGGAGTGGCTGAGTGTGCCTCACACTCCAGCCAAAGTAGAGGACCAGCCAAAGGGGGAAGAGACAGCGTCTGCAGCCGAAGAGAGTGGAGATCGTGGACAACAGTGAGTGAAGGAGACTCTATCCCTTTCCCCAACACCCCACAGAATAAGTTCCAGAGAGAAGGAGGAGGAGGAGGATAATGATGGGAAACTTTTCTAAGGGTTCCAGGCAATACCATGAGCAAATGGGTGAGAAAAAGAGAGGGAGAGGGGATGAATGTTTGGGGTGGATGGATGGGGAGAGAGAACGAATGGAGGGAGAGAGAAAATGAATTGAGAGGGGAGGTGGAAGTAGAAAGAAAGAAGGCAGACAGGATGCTTTCTCCAGTCCAAAATGTATGGGGAAGGAACTCAAGAATGGCAGTGACAGAGCAGGAGGGAGATAGATGGAGGGAGAGAGGATGAGGAGAAGGAATGCATCGGGGAGAGGGATTTGCAGTCAGTGGATGAGGACAGTGTCTGGCCTGCAGGGGGAAGGTCTCCCTGTTCCTGGTGCGATTTGTGCCAGACTCTCATCTGACCTCTCTCTCTTTCACTTTGTAGGGATGATGACTTTTGGATCCCGTGCACTGCTGTGCATCATAGCCCTCTCTGTCCTCCCAGCTGGTGAGTCACCACCCCATGGAAGCCACATCAGGGCTCTCTCCCCTTTCTTTGCCCCGTGGAGGCTCACACAGAGACCACTGTTCAGTGACAGGAGGGGAAGGACACACACACACAGATGGAGAGTGACAGGGAAAGAAAAAGGGGAGAGTGCAGGAGAGGATGGAGAGAATGCTGGAGGGAAGTTTGAGAAGCAGTGATCAGTGCCCATATGTTCTCCTTCTCCTAAGCAGCATGGATAGGAGCAGAGAGAGGTTCAGGGAGTGAGCGGAGGGGAGATGCATGTTTGCAAATTGTTCCCCTACCAAGCATAGCTGCCATTTCCCTTGGTTCTGCATGGTTGGTGGGATGCATGGAAACAGGTTGGAGTGGCCAGGCAGTGAACAGCTCCTCTAAATATTATGAGCCTCCTCTCACACTGGTGTAAATCAAGAGTGGCTAGTTGGAGTCAATGAGTTACACAGGCGTGACATAGATATATGTGAAAGGTGGCTTAGGACCAATGTTTAGAAAAAGGTGTAGCGGTAGTATGTGCTCAGGAGGGAGCACAATGTATTCTCAGCTGGATATGATGGGGGCAGCAGATAGTTGAAACCCTGGTCTCCCAGACACTGCCTGGGGCAGCGTCTCAGACCAGGTATGCGGAGCACTTCCAGCTGGTCCATGGAACTTGTTCTGTCACAGTGGTGAAAAACATCTATCAGTCTTCAAGCACTGATGCTTCCTGCTGGTTGTTCCCCATTCCTGGCCTCATTGGCTTTCCAGAGGCTTTTCTGGCCAGTTAAGCTCAGGATTCCAAGCTTCTCTCCACCTGCTGCTTCATGTCTGTCTGTGCTCTGAGTTTCTTTGGCATAAATTCAGGTGGGATTAAATTTGCAGATGACACCAAAATGGGAGAAGGCAGCACCAAACTGAAGAGTAAGCTGGAGAGAGTGGAGAAGAGAATGAGGGATGATTCCATCTTAATGGATAGAGAGTGCTGTACCCAAGGAAAGAGAGAACCAGGGGATAGGTATCGAATAAGAGATATAGCCCGACAGCTGCACCCTTCACATTAAAGCAATTCTCCCATCATTAGAGATCAGCCTGTGCTGAAATGTTTGGATCCAGAGAGGGACATCCCCATTATTCAGTGGCTGTTTGGATCTGGCATGTTTCTGATCCTAATAGTACTTTTTCCCATAAGCAGGTACTGTAGCTATCACAGAGCAAATTTGAGCTGGTGACTGACAGAGCAGGGAGGAGAGGCAGCCCTGGCACAATCTTGAACTTAAAGATGACTTGCAAAGTAAAAAGAAAAAGAGGTTGTGTCCTTTTCGGTGTTTTTCTGATGCACAAACAAGGCTTGAAAGGGTTTTTTCCTCCTTGTTTTTTACCCCAGGCCAGGTCGACACTAAAAAGTTAGGTCGACCCAGCTACGTTAGTCAGGGGTGTGAAAAATCCACACCCTAAGTGGTGTAGTTAAGCTGACCCAACCCCTTTTGTAGACAGCGCTACGTTGACAGAAGAATTCTTCCACTGACCTAGCTACTGCCTCTCAGAGAGGTGCATAACCTATTCCAGTGAGATAACCTCTCCTGTCCGGTTAGGTAGTGTTTACACTGAAGTGCTACAGCGGCACCACTGCAGCAAGTGCCACTGAAGCATTTCAAATGTAGACAAGCCCTTAGAAATATCAGGAATGTCCAGGTTGGTCTCTCTCTGTTTTGTTGAAGGGCTAGTTGGAGATTTAGATAACTGGAGTGGGGCTTTTTCACCCTCCGAGGGGGTGAGGGTGCCACATCTTTAACAATGAGTGCTTTCCTCCTAAGTGTTTGAATTAAGTAGGTGTTAATACAAGCAAACCAATTAAACAGCCTAATAAGAAATCCCTCTCCCTCTTAGTTACTTGGCTTTTATAATCAGACCAATTTTCTATTGTCCTTAGTCTTCGGGAGAGGAAAGGCTAGACAAGAAGTGAATTTCTAATGTAGAAAATAAGCAGACTTTATAAAAAAGTTCAGCATTTCAGACCTGCATCACAAAGAGAGAAAAAAGGGCACAACCCTATTTCCCCCCCTTTGCATGTTACCATTAAGAGATGGGCTAGAGTAGGAACAGCTTTGAGAAGCAGTGGGTTATTGTACCTGGGTGATGTGTGTAATACCTGGCACTTCCTGGATCAGTGGCCAGTGAAGGTGGATAGCTGCACAGCCATTGCTGGGGACTCCACTGGGACAGGACACAGAGGGTCCTGAGAGAACTCTTGAAATTCGGCAGAGTAGGATTATGCCCATGGGCCCAATTCTCCCCCTGCAGGATACAAGTAACTATTACTGAAGTAAGAGATAAATAGGGCTCTCAATCCCCAATCTTGTAGTCCTTACTCAGGCAAAGCTCCCAGTGACTTCAGTGATAACTTTGGTGGAATGAGGGTAGAAGGCTCAAGGGCATAGTGTATCGGGCACAGTGTGACAGGGCCAGTGGGGTAGTAGATAATGTTTTCACCCCTCAGCTCACAGAGAGCCATTACTATACAGTGGGTCATTCCTACATCTGTCCTAGTTCTAATTTGCTCTGCTCTACCCTGTATCACCAGCCTTTTCCTACCAATTCTTTCCTTTCCCCCCACAGTTATGCAGATGTTTTCCTCCTCCCTGGTTTAGCAGAAAACTTTTACCTGTTTTGAGCTGCTTAAAGAAGCAGCTCTCTTGCCATTGGCATTTTGAAAGTAAACAGTGTATCTCAGTTTTTATTCCTCCTCTGTTACACTGACTGCACAGGTGGCCTCCATTGCTCTCTGCCTGTCCCTTTTTCTCACCTTATAATATGCCTGGATGTAAATGATCTTCCAGCCTATTGTCAGGGAATGTGTGGTGCTCCATAACCGAGGAGAAAGATAGTCTGGTGGTTACAGCTGTTGATTGGGCACCAGGAGACCTGCCTTCTGTTCTTTACTGTGCCAATGATTGGCTGTGGGACCTGGGGTAAGTCACTTCCTCACTCAGTGCCTCAGTTCTCTCTCCTATACAATAGGCAGTGTGATACTTAACCTACCTCAGAGGGGGATTATGAAGCTTAATTTGCTAATGTTTGTAAAATGCAACAAGGTTTGCAAATGGTGCTGCGGAAATGCAAAGTCTGGGAACAAATCTGTGGCCCCTTACAACTCCACAGCTGTGACTGCCCACTCCCAGTTGTGCCCACTCAGACATGTATGGTAGAGCTCTTGCTCTAAAACTTCTTAAACTAAAGGGCAATCTCCTTTATCTATTAGCAGTATAGATCCTGACTAGAGCTGAGCAGTTCTCATTCCATCCAGTGGAGGGCAGTGGTCTCCTGTACATACATTAGCTAGTTCATGACTGTTATTATTCATTATAATTATATAGACTCCAGTTTATGGAAATCCCCCTTCTGTCTCTTCCCCACTCTCCCCTCTCTCCTACCTTATCTTGCAGACTGGTTTCTACCGATGGTCAACTGTCAAGAAGACCCAACAAGTAAGTCTTGCTGTCTGCTGCGTGTGTGCATGTGTGTGGGCTGAAAGAAAACCAAGGTGCTGGTTACTCAGTAGGAAGTGCTAATCCCAATGCCCCAGTATGGTGCTAGAGGGTATTAAGATTTTGGAGGTGTTCTCCTTTGTATGAGGCCTAAAATAGGCACACCAATCACTCAAGGTTGTTAAAAATCTGATGGTACTTTGTGCAGGGATAGGTATGTTGGTCCTAATGTCCTGGATAATCATATTCAATCTCACTGCTATTCAGTTCTTCATTTCCTGGCCTCAGCTGTTGTGTAGTGCAGTTATGCAATGTTAAACAGCTGTCATGTTCTACCCAGGGCCGGCTCCAGGCACCCGCCCACCAAGCATGTGCTTGGGGCGGCGCCTGGAGGGGGGCGGCGCGGCGGGGCGCTCCGGGCCGAAAGTGGGGCCGCGACTGGGCTCGCTGCCCTCCCCCCGGCGCTTTGGCCGGTCGGGGAGAGCGGAGGGCCCCGGCCGGGCTCGCCGCCCTCCCCCTGGCGCTCCGGCCGGTTGCGGGCCTGCGGCCGGGCTCGGTGCCCTCCCCTGCCGCGCTGGGGTGGGAGGGGGGCGGGGGGCGGGTGGCTTTTTTGCCTAGGGCGACAAAAAAGCCAGAGCCGGCCCTGGTTCTACCCCAGACATGGTGGTTGTTATTAATCATTTGTATTATGGTAGCACTCAAAGACCCCATTCGGGATCGATATCTCATTGCACTAGGTGTATTCACATACACAAAGTAAGAGACAGTCACTGTCCCAAAGAACTTTCAATATAATTTAAGCCAAGACAAGGGACAAGGATAACAGTGATAGTGGTTACAAAGACTAGCTAGGTGCACAATTAGCAGGGTTTGAGTCACTAATAGATATTAGGATGTGTGTAGATATATGTGTGTGTGTATTTATATCTCTGTGTGTGTATACACACAGAGATGTACACACAAAGATACACACACAGATACAAATAAATTAATCTCAGCAATCCCCATGGGCTCTCTGCCCAGTCACTACTATTTAGCAATTTACTGTAAGCATCATGATAAAAGTGGATCTCGAGGAGGAATTTGAAGGAGAACAGGGTCATGGCTTTATGGAATAGCTGGGCAAGGGCATTCCCTGTGGAGGGAGTAGCATGGAAGAAAGCTCAAAAATGTCTGTGGGAGAAGCACCTAAAATGGGTGGTTGAGGCTGGCACTGCTGGCAAAGTAGAGTGAGGCAATGCAGTAAGAGACAAAGCCGCATAAATAGGGGGAGGTAGAATTCTGAAGGACCTTTAAAGGTGAGGACATGAACCTGATGTGATGGAAAAGGAGGGGTCTGAAGAGGGGACTGATGTAGTGAGCGTGAGAGTGACAAGAAAAGCTCTTTGCAGCTGGGGTTGAATGGACTGGAGAGGGGTGGTATGGATATCAGGGATCCAGAGATTGCAGAAATCAAGATGGGAGAAGATGAGGCCCTGGATGAGAACTTTAGCTGTATGGACGGAGGGAAAAGACTAGACCTTAAGGTGTTATGGAGGAAGGAACTTCAAGATATGGACATGGCGTGGATGTGCAGGACAAGAGGCAGGGAAGAACTAGAGATGTAGCTGTGTTTCAGTGCTGAGTAAATAAGCTCTGTATGTACCAATCTGCAAAGCACTTTAGAGTTCTTCAAGAATTCATTATTATTTATTATGGTTTTGAGTGCATGCATTTCTTTGATTGTTTGTGAATTGATGCTTTATAGCAAAGGATTGTGAGAGACAAGTTGGATCCTGGGATCTGAGAACCTAACACTGAGTCACTCTCTAACAGTGGGAAGTTAGAGGAACCTTACCGCTACCTCAGTGGTACCCAAGTGTGAAACACTTGGTATATAAGAAGAGCATGGTCTAATGGTGAGAACAGTGGACTATATGTCTGGAGACCTGGATTCTATTCCTGGCTTTACCACTGACTCACTGTGTAGTTTTGGGCAAGTCACATTATCTCTTTTTGCCTCAGTTTTCCCATCTGTAAAGTGGGATTATGATCGTTACCTATCTCCAAGGAGAGGTGAGAGGATAAATGAGTTAATGTTTGTACAGTGCTTTGAAAACATAAGGTGCCACATCACTATGCCTTCTCCTCTCCTCTCAGAGGCAGACCTTGCCTTAGCCAGCCATCCCTTAGTCATCTCACAGCTACACTCCTGCAGCACATTCTACCCTCAAAGGCTTCTTGGAAGCTGTGACTCTTGCAGAATGTGGCCACGAAATTTCTGTGTAGGGAACAGGATTGGGAGCACATCACACCCACACTCCACTTGCCCAGCTTTACACCTTTCTGCAATATGGGCTAGGTTCAACCCAGTTCACCCTGAACTCCCCAGCTGTCCATCCCAAAGGTGAGTGCTGCAGGAACCAGGAGCAGGGCAGCTCCTCACCTCCGACGTCTCTGCCTCCAGTACGGCCTCCCAAGATGGGCCAGAGCTGAGAGGTCAGGATCTGGATTCAGAGTTCAGTAGAGGTTTAGAAATGGGGTTTGTTGATGGCCCATCTGTGCCTTTACAGTGTCCTTTACAACACAATCCTGGAGTTCTCTGCACTCCTCACAGGGAGGTTAGTTTGGGGTGGAGGCGTCCTGGTCTATAGGAAATGGCTGTTTTATACTTGAACTAACCTATGTACACAGGGCACCTTGATACTCTGGGGATGGGTGCATTATAAGAATCAGTGAAATGTGAAGCTCAGGCTCTGAGCTGAACTTCCTGGGGTGGTGGCAGTGAGGAAGAGACTTCCCATGAAATAGCAGAGGATTTGGAGCGGTTCACTGACACATCTGGGCAGCACTGCGACTCAAATTACATGCATGTTTGCTGACAGCTAGTGGCCCTTTTAGGGTACTCCACGGGACAGATATGTGGAAAATGGGGAGGGCTAGTAATAAGCAGGCTGTAAGGGGGGTGAAGGGAAAAGAAGTAAACAGAGATGGACATATTATTAATTCCTTTAGGAATGTCCCCCTGATGTGGTCTCTAGCCAATCCCAGGCCAATGGAGGCAGAAAAATCAGTGCCCAGGATAGGGGATATATGGAGGCCTCTCTCCCAAGATGGGTGGTCAGAGCAAGATTAGTAATAATTCCGTTTTTGCATACAAAACACACTGCTATGAAATCCAAGGCTTGCCAGTGAGAGTCCCAAGTCCCAGGAGGGGGTGGATAGAGGTGGGGAGAGGCGCCGTGTGAATATTTACTGGATAGGCTCACGCTATCTTAGGGGCCCGTCATGGCAGCAAGAATCATCTGGCCCACTATGGTTAACCAAGCCCAAGTGTAAACCTTCGTAAGAGCCAGAGGAAAAGCCTTGAGAGCAGGGCCCAGGCTCTGGAATGCCTATTCAAAGAAGATCAGGAAGAGTCCTTCCCTGATCATCTTGGGGCCTCACTGAAATACCCGCCTCTCCCCCCGCAGCATTTCCCAAGGTACTGGAACAGAAGAAAACCTACAGCACATTCATAGTGAAAAGTCCACAGTTAGAATAAATAATAATTATATAATAATATAATGAAGAGCAGGCTGGAGACTGACGGTCTCTTCTAGAAGGATCTTGCTGTTTCTGATTATCCCCTCACACCCAGTGCTTTTAGGCATGGCAGTTCATAGCCCTGGCACCTCTGGGCTTGACATGTCAGTTATGAAAATAAAAAAAATTGCTTGAGCCCCAGCACCTCTTTCATTACAAATTAAGCACTGCTCACACCACCTAGATAGCATGGCAAAGAACACTTTAGAAATGCTAGAGAAAGATTGAGAATCAGGCTATGTCTATACTACAAGCCAGGAGTGTGATCACCAGCTTGTGTACACATACTCGCATTAGCTCAATGAGAGCTAGTGCTAGTGTAAATAGTAGCGTAGCCATGGTAGCATGGGCAGGGGCAGCACAGCTTAGCCATGCCAAGTACAAACCCACCTGAAACCCCTGGACATGTACTCAGCAGGGCTAAGCCATGCCGCCACTGCTGCTGCCTGTGCTACCGTGGCTACACTGGTGTTTATACTTGCTCTAGCTCTCATCAAGCTAGCTTGAGAATGTGCATGCCAGCTGAGAATCACACCCCTAACTCGTAGTGTAGACGTAGCCTCAGAGAGAACACCAGATAGATAGAGGGTGTATGTTTGATGTGAATTAGTGGTGATGCAGTTCAGGAGGGGAATGCAGGCTTCAACTTTTTGCCATCAGTGAGTTAGGTTCAAATGGGACCTAAGGGCACAACCGGAAGGACTTTTACTGGGTCTAAACATAGTCCTTTTTGGTACTCATCGTACAAAATCCAGCATACGGAGAGACTTAAGGGCTGGAATAGCAGGGGGGTTGCAGAGTAGGACAGAGGGGCATTGGCAGAGCTTTGTGGGGAGCCCAGCACTGGAATAGCAGGGGGGCTGGCAGAGCTGGGGGGGAGGGGAGAGGACCAAAAACTCAAAGCAGGATCTTTCAGATCATTCTCTCTTTTTCCAGTTGTGCCTGACATACAACCTGTCACTGATGACTTGGGTAAGTTCATTCTTCTGACCGTGGGACCACTCGGGGCCTTCCTTTCCCTGCTGATCCCTACTCCCAGCTGTATCACCACTAGAGATCCCTGTCACTTCACACTCAGAGTCCCACTTTCTCCATTGCCCTTAACTCCAGCTGTAACTCTCTAGAAATTCCTCTTTCTTTACACACTTGTTTTTTGTCAACAGGTCTGCCTGATACTGAAGGTATAGTATCACAGAATATCAGGGTTGGAAGGGACCTCTGGAGGTCATCTAGTCCAACCCCCTGCTCAAAGCAAGACCAATCCCCAGACAGATTTTTGTCCCAGATCTCTAAACGGCCCCCTCAAGAATTGAACTCACAGCCCTGGATTTAGCAGGCCAATGCTCAAACCACTGAGCTATCCCTCCCCCCCAAAGTAGTAGCAGATGAACAAGGTGTGTACAACTGCTTTATTAATATAAATGTATGTCTTTTGAAGGAGACATTAACCTGATCTCCCTTCTGGCCTGTCTCTGGGTCAGTAACTAAGGATGACACCCCAAGGCAGGGTTTGATCAAGGGTGGAGAGGAACTGCACTATTAAAAGGCATGTGAGCTCCCTTTTGCTCCACCTCTGGGGGTTCCAGTGCCCATACCACAGGGCATTAGTGTGGCAAAGAATACTGCTTTGTTAGAAGAGCTGCTCTCCCTTGGGTAAGACATTCCCCATGCTCCCTCCTTTACACTTAAGGACCCCTGTTTTTCACTGTTTATTTTAGAAACATAGCAAATAATCCAAAATTCACAAATCCTTTGTTTTCTAGTTCCAGCTGCCATTGTAAACACAACAGAGATACCAGGTATGTTTAGTTTTGAGATTCAAAGTAGGGGACATGGAGCCTGTCATCTTTAGGGCATCATTTCCTATCCACTGGGAACATAGAAATAGCCAGATTGGATCAGACCAGACCTGACCAGATCCATTTGGGCAGTACTAGGTGCTTCAGAGGGAGGTGTAAGTACTGGTCACTGTCAGAAGACAGGATACTGGATTAGATGGACCATTAGTCTGACCCAGTATGGCCATTCTTATATTCAAGTAACCCCATACTGGACAGTTATGGAATAATCTGCCCACAGGGGAAGTTTCTGCCTGACCTCACAAGAAAAGTGGCTGAGTTATAACCTGAAGCATTAGATTTTATATCCTTTATAAAGCTGTATCTTAAATAATATGGCTGCAGATATTATTTGCATAAATGTCCATTCAGAATTATTCTAAACTCTGAGTAATATTCTGTTAGTGAGTTCCACAGGTTCATTGTATACTGTACTGAATGTTCTCTTGTTTTTCTGTTATGAGCTAAGGGGAATAGAAATGCTTTATCCTCATCCTCTAGACCATTTATTATTTAGTATGACACCTTTATCAGGGTCTCTCTTCTCTAAACAGTCCCAGCACCTCAAGAATATCAGGAAATGGGGTATGGAGCCTTTAATATCTTGAGCACTAGATCCAATCCAGCCCCAGATTGGAGGCTTTTGTAAAATGAATGGAGGCTTGCAGTCCAGTGCCTAGTGAACTTGTGTCCACATCACAATGGCCAATGGCATTCATTTGCACCTGTGTGTGTTCCCAGAATGCCGTGAGGAGCAGTTCCCTTGCACACGCCTGTACTCCGTTCACAAACCTGTGAAACAGTGTATCAGTTACCTGTGTGTTACCAGGTAAGAAGCCTGCAATCCCCAGGAGAAAAACCAAGTCACTATCACAAAGAGCACATCCAGCTCAAAAAGTGTGCACTCTATGGAGACACAAGGGTTTTATCCCAAGTTCTAGTCCCTACAAGGGAAGAGAAGTGGGTGAAGTGAATCCTAAAAGTGTAATTGAGGTTCTTAACTAATGCAGTGTAATACTTAATATATTTGTAACTCGTTGAAGTTGTAAAATGTTCTGTGAGCTATTAATTATTATTTAATGTATGTATTGGACCAAATCTTGAAGTCCCCACACAGGCAAAATGCTTTGTTGACATCAATAGGGGTTTTGCCTTAGTAAGGACTGACTGGAACTCAGGATATGCCTCCTTCTTTGAATGATTATTGCCTATATCACTTTTTGTTCTCATGAATCTGAATGTCTCTCTCCCATCCTTGACATGATTCTGGTGGCCTCTCATCCCCTCAGTGTGCGTCGCATGTACATAATAAACAAGGAGGTGTGCTCTCGTGTGGTCTGCAAGGAGGATGAATTCATGCAGGGTGAGTGACGCCTGGGCGGAGGAGCAGCAGAGCAGAGCTCTGTGGGGAAGGGGAGCAGCCTTGTTCAGATATGCTTTCCTTTATGAGAAACTGTACCGTGCCTGTCAAGTGACATTTCTCTCTGGGGGAACTAGTGGTTGATGGGACAGTGGCACAAGGAGGCTGACCTTTAAAGAGGTTGGGGCTCCACTTCCAACCCTCCTGAGCTCCCCTCACTCCCTTCTTCTTGACGGGGTGGCTGTACCACCTTATAAGATGGCATCACAGGGGGAATCCATGCCCACCTCTACTACAGATTTCTGGCCCTGTAACCTACACTGCGCAGTCTACAAAATGGGACCTAATGGAACCTCTTCCCTTTTACCTCGCTACTTGGGGGCTGCTTCCGGGAGCGGCGTGGGGCCACCAGCCACCGGGTAGGCAGCCTGCCGGCCTGAGCCCTGCTGCGCTGCCGGCTGGGACTCGGGGGCAGGTTGTCAGATATTTGTCCTGCATTTGGGGGGCCCCCCTGTCATTGGGGACCCCGTGCCACCGCATGGGGTGTTTCATGGTAAATCCGCTCCTGTTTATACCAGTATCATGTTGTCCATACTGTGGGGTAGCACATATTTAACTATGTCTGTTTCTAAATGCGTATAGTAAAAGCAGTAAAAGAAGTGCCTGTAGACCAGCCCCAACAGTCATGTTTTTATTGCTGTTAGTCCTGGAGAGCCCATAAAGCTATGGGAGAGCTAGCAACTTTATTCTGCCTTGTGCATTATCAGTAGAATCATTAGCTGGCTTCCCATTGGGGAACTTTATTGCTGGTAGAGATGCAAGAAGCAGAGAGAATGTACTCAAAACTGGGACCTGAAAATCCAGGTATGTGATAGCAGCTTTTAGAAAACTCCTCTTGATTTGTAAACCAAGCTGAAATTGACACAGAAGGAAGGAGCTAGAATTTGAGGATTTGCAGAGTCACTTCTCTGATAGAAACGGCAACTTTAATCCCAAGTTAATATTAACTTCTAGAGATGGGCCAGAGCAGAGAGTTCAGATCTAGACTCAAACATCCCCAAAATTTGGGGACAGGGGAGACAGGCCAAACCAAACCCTTGGATCTGAACAACTAGAAAGATAGGAAGCAGCTCAGCTGCAAAATCCACATGTGGATCCAGATCTGAAGTTCCACAAAGCTCTGTATTAACACTGAGAATGGATCAAATCAGTAGCCAAATAAATAGTTTAATGGGTTTTTAAGATCTTGGTTTCACCTGGAATTTACATGGTGTTCCCTATTTGTAGATTCTACAAATCCTGTGCAGGTCTTTACTCAAAGGCAACCAGGGGAAATCTGGTGCAACTCCTCTGAGCTTAAAAGAGTGGCTTCTTACACTAGTGTAAATGAGGGCAGAATCTAGCCCCGTCTTTATCCAGGCAAAACTCCCAGTGACTTCAGTGTGAATTGTGCCTGCATAAGGCCAGAATGAATTCTGAGTAAAGGCTTCAGGATTCGTTTCTCTGTCCCATTTAAATCAGTGTCCATCACAAGTTTATATGGATAACGTCAAGATTGTATTGCTAATTGTTCATGTGATGAACTGAGCTTGAATGAAGCCCTAAACCTGTGTCTCGTGTCTCTCTGCAACTCTCTCCTTTGTCTCCAGATGAGATCTGCCGCCAGCTGGCTGGCCTCCCCCCTCGACGCATCCGCCGCTCCGGTCAGCCCCGAGGCCCTCCCTGCAGATGGGGCCAGAACAAGGAGCTGAATAAGCCTGATGCTCTGTGAGCTACAAACAGTAGGAGAGAGAGAGGGGGAAAGGGAAGAGGAGAATCATTGTCAACCCATCATCTACAACCCCAAACAAGTCCTACTGGCCCTCCTGCAACAACAGCTCCCCCCACCCCACCCTTCAGGTGGTGCAGTGCATGGGGTCCTCTCTGTTAGTGGCTGCTGTCTCCTCTAACGGGTGCTCATGTTTTTTATCCCAAACTTGATCTCGCAGGCCGTGATCAGCCTAGTTCCTGCACTGCTCCATCTCTTGCTCTCCCTCCCTCCTCCCCCCACCCCCCAAGAGAGAGAGGAGGGTGGGGACAGAATATAGGTCTCCTACAATTCACAAACCTTTAGGGAGGCCCAGGCCTGGTCACCACAGCACTCCTTGGATGGAGCAAACCTGATTGTCCTGCATGACTACACAACTCACTAAATCCTAGGATGCTGGGCCCAGCCCCTGCAGCTCTTCCAGCCCCCAATGATCTAGGATCCTCAGGACCAGTACTCTGGTAACATTTCAAGAGAGGTCAGGAGTAGGAATCAAATCCGGGTTTCTTGCATGGCATCAGAGTGAAAGTCCTTAGAGTATCCCATCCCAGTCTCAGGGGACTGAGACAGCAGTTTACTACCTGGCAGCCTAGCGTTAGTCCCTAGGAGACTCCATGCCCCATCTCGACACTGCTCAGTGCCAGAGAAATGACAAGTGTGGGACTGAGAATTAAACCTTGACAACTCCCAGCTACAATTCAAGACAAGTCTCATAGGCCCTGCCAGCAGTAATTCATTTATAACCAGCTCTGGGAAGCTTTGAATCCCTTTGTTACAAGCCATCTGCTTCGGTCATAGGAACAGTAGCCAATGAAGAATCTTTGCTTAGCAGAGCAATCTATTTTCACAATACAAACATAAGATTTATTGAGAAGTGTGCCGGTCTTCCTCCTAGCCCACCCTCTCCGCTCCTCCCAGCTCTATGCCACACCCAGGAGATCCACAGCGAAGGTATCACTGCAAACAATCCAAGCAAATGCCAGTTAGTTGAGCTCCTGTGCCGGGGAAGGGCAAACGTGAAGAATGGGTACATCATGGAGATGGGCTGGGAACTTGGTACCTCCTGGTGTGAGGGGCATGGAACATTTGGGTCTTTCAGATAAAGAATGGGTTTGTCTTGGATAATTTGGGGAAGTCGTGGCTCAACCCAGGTTTATACATATGAAATACAATGTCACAGCTGCTTTAAAAGTCTCTGTGGAATTCCTCTCCCACCCCAGCATCAGGAGCTCTTGCAGCAGGCAGGAAATGTGTGTTGGGTTGGCACAGGGAAAAAGAGAGGGAATAAATTGTTGGGCACTGGCAGGGTGACTCAGCCCTACTTTACAATGCAAGGGGTTGAGAGCCCCATGGCCAGAGGAGTGGGCACACATGCAAAGATAAGCCAGCTGCGTGGAAGGGATTTCATTCCCCTAGCACTAGGCTGTTCCATTGTGGTCTGGGGTAGAAGTTAGTCATTTGGGGCAGAGTGGGAGAAGATTTGTGAAATATACTTACAGTGGTGTGGTCACTTATCCAGCACCCCATCCCAGCCAGGGGCTGCTTTGCAGGCACCCTGCCCCTAATTTTTTACAGGTCCCTTAAGCTCCCCCATCTCTGTTGGGGCTAACACCACTCCTTTCTCAGTCTGGCTTAATGTCAAACAAAGCTCACACAGACCTCAGAGTCCATAATCACAAAATAACCCAAACAGCCCCCAATGAGTCCCCACTATAAAGTCAAAATTATCACCTCCCCCACACCCCTCTGGCACAGCCCCCTCACTAACAGCCTCAACCAGAGCCCTACAGGAGCCTGCTGCCTTTTATATTAGAATACCCGATTCCCCTCAGGTGAGGCTCATCTCATCATCAGGATTGTTTTAGGCCCAGGCTCTCCAGCTCCTGGGCAAGCCACCCTGTTACAATACTGAAGGGTCTTAATCACTATAGCAGTGCAACTTAACTATGGCAACAGGGCCAGCTGGGGCCACGCAGTTAGGTAGTTTATCCCACTACAGCTAGGGGCGGGGAGGAGAGTAGGCAGGGCTCAGTCATTAACAAAGGTATTGTTCCCAACTATAAGGGAAGGCCAGTTTGTTTAGTTCCCCACCTCCTGATATATTGGGCATACTTCCACTTGGTAGGAGCAGCATTCTGCTATATATGGCCTGGGTGACACAATAAAGAGGAGAGAGGGCTAGATACAGGAAGAGTTCTGCTATATAAAGGCAAAGTTGCCCTACATAAAAGCCTCTTCAGAGCGGACAAATGTCTACTTTGTACAGAGAGAAGCTGTGTTACATCCTACTTAGGGGAAGATACCCCATTGTAGAGGCAGATTTTTCCTATGTAGGGGCAGGGATCTGCTCTACATGGGCTGAATTTTTCTCTACAGACCCACTATATAGGGGAATGAGTTCCAAGGTAAACAGGGAGTTTACCCATCCCTGGGAACTATAGGGGCATAGTTCTCCTATGCAGAAGGCAGAGTTCCTCTATGTAAATAGAGACTCACTACATAGGGAGCAGAGCTTTGCCCTATGTAGAGGATGAGTTCATACAGAGAGCAGATGCCTGCTACATTGGGAAGAGGTGATTTAAAGCTAGGATCCTGCTCCCATTGAAGTCAATGGCAAAATTCCCATTGACTTCCATGGTACAGGATCAGGGCCTTAAAGAGTCCTGCCAATTGGAGGAGAGTGGAGATAAAAATGTTAGAAGGAAGTGGAATTAGACCAAGTCTCCTCTCTGAATATAGAGTTGAATGTAAACATATATAGATATATAAATATATTACATAGTTACTGTACAGTATATCTAAATCTCATGTTCACACAGTTTGGGGGAATGCATTAGAAACCTTTGCTGTTGCTTAAATCTCACACTGCATGCAGGGATTGTAAGTGGAATTCCCCTGGGAGAACACTGTCTAAACATTATAGTCCATGTAATGCACACCAAAACATTAAAAGAAAATGTTATTTCTGATTAGTCTTGGCAACTTGTGTTCTGGCTTATTTGTCTCTGCTTTTCCTTTTGTTTCATCCTGACCTGCAGCCAGTTCTGGGCCTCCAACACAACTCTATACACCTCAACATTTCCCTGACCTGCGGCAGCTCTTGCTATTCCACTCCTGGGATTCCCACACAGGTCTGCTGATGTCCCTCAATCCTGATGTGCAGCACTCCCAGTCCTGGACTTCCTACATAGCTCTGCAATTGCACCTCATTCCTGATGAGCTTGGCCCTGTGGCATTTCAGTATTTTATCTAGAGATTCCTGTAATCTCTTTAGGGCATTTGTTTTCCCAGCTGATTAAACCAGTTTATCCAGAGTTTTAGTTGTGACCACTGAGGACTAGAATAACTCATGTGCCATCTAAGATTTCACTCTGAGAAAATAATTCCTTAGTACGAAAACACCCTGCTTTGGTGATGAGAATGTACCACTGTCCAGTTGAAGAAGGGATGGGGATGGAATATATTTTTTCACAACCCAGGCAGAACCTACTGAACCATCTAAACTCAGAAATATGAGTAACTCAGATCCATTGCATCACTTAAGAATCACATTTTATACAAGAAGTAAATGTCTCTCCAGTGCATTCCAGATGAGGATTATGAAGATTTCTCACTTCTCCCTAAAATGTCTGTTTGTCCCATAAACTCATCTGAGACTGACTGCACCAGCCATAGAAATGCATTGTCAGGACCTGGGAGATTTCAAGCTCATGTGTTTGTTTGTTTAGACAGAGCTTCTAGAAACACAGGAAATGCCTATGGCCCAACTAGTCCAGCATCCTGTCTCCAATCCTGTGGCCAATGATGGATGCTTCATTGTGTAAGATACCCACAATGCACCTCGTAGTACAAAACCTTCTTCTTCGAGTGATTGCTCATGTCAATTCCAATTAGGCGTGCGACCTGACGGATACTACTAGGGGAAAAATCTTCCGGCTGCCATGCACACAGCATACGCACACCTAATTGGAATGGTCATGAGCAACACATCTCGAAGTTACAAGAAGGTCAATAACCGATTTTTCCCCTTCAGGAGAAATTTCTTCCTGACTCCAGCTGATTAGTTCATACCTTGAAGCATGAGGATTGATAGCCCTGGTGATATTTACCTCCACTAGTATGACTACAGATGCTATTGTAAACAGGATCCTCTGACTTCATTATAATTTACTACCAGTTCCATTCACAATTTATAGACTATCTCCTCTCCTTTATAACCTACATAGTTGTCCTTAATCTCGCTTGTATAGAAGCCCCTTTGCTATGCCAGCTGCCTGTGGGTATGCCTATACTTCAGGTTGGAGGTATACATTCCAGCTCAAGAAGACATATCCACTCTAGCTCTGATTGAACTAGCATGCTAAAAATAAAGTGTAGCTTCAGTGGTGTAAAGGGCTAGCTGCCCTGCATATGTACCCATCCAAGATGCTAGGTCTGGAGTTGGGGTGGCTAGCCTCTCCCACCACTGCAATTACACTCTATTTTTAGCACACTACCTTGGTCAGAGCTAGCACGGGTATGTCTCCTCAAGCTGGAATTTACACCTCCTGCTTGAAGCACAGACATATCCTGTCTCTGGGCATTCTCTGTCCCTAAGGGCCCTGTCTACAATGAACTTTCAATTGAGTTAGGGAATTATGTTTAAACACAGCTCCAGCTAGCAAGGTTTCCCAGGAGGTCTGACCAGAGTGAATGGGGCCAGAATCACATTTAAAATGCGTTCTAGACTTGGTAGCTGATTGTTTACAGGCACTTCTAACCGGGGTTTGAACTGGGAGTATACAGCATATACCCACTTCCCATGAGTCAGCCACCTGGTTTTGCACATCCTTCCCCTGATGTCAGTACCACTGGCTCATCAGCCCAAGGGGTAACAAATTAAAAACTGCAGCACCATGAGCAGTGGCATACAATCCCAGTGTGAAGCAGTTGCAGCACTTTTGCCAGCAGAGGGACCCAGAGTCACCACTGAGCTACTCACTGGGAGGAAGGCAGAAGGAACCAATGCTGAGACCTGTTTGCAGGCCCAGTTGCTGGGGCGAGGGGGAGGCTCTTCTTTTCCCTGACAGGAAGGGGCTCTTACTCCTCCCCAGAAATGGTAGAGAGGGTATGGGGAAGAGGAGGAGAGTAGGGCAGGGCAGGGAAGGGCCTGGACAGGGAGCAGCGTTTAGACAATCCCACCACCCTTTGCCTTTCCAATTGTACGCAAGTGTAACATACCTCACCATCCCAGATCACCCCTTGTGGCAAAACCTGGCATTACAGTCTCTCCGCCTCACTCCCCTCCTTGAGTAGGGTTGCCAGGTGTCCGGTTTTCAACCAATATGCCCAGCCGAAAAGGGACCCTGTGCTGACAGGGCTGTTAAAAGTCTGGTTGGCAGTGCAGCAGGGCTAAGGCAGGCTCCCTGCCTGCCCTGGCTCTGCGTGGCTCCCGGAAGCGGCTGGCATGTTCCTGTGGCCCCTAGGTGCAGGTGCAATCAGGGAGGCTCCATGTGCTACCCCCACCCCGAGCACCAGCTCCCATTGGCCGGGAACCTGCCTTAATCCCACTGCACCACCGACTGGGAGCTGCCTGAGGTAAGCTCCGCCCGGCTGGAGCCCAAACCCCCACACGCACCCCAACCCCCTGTCCCAGGTTGGAACTCCCTCCTGCACCCTAACTCCCTCCCAGACATAGGCGCCGACTCCGTGGGTGCTCCGGGGAAAAATTAGTGGGTGCTCTGCACCCACTGGCAACCAAGCTCCCCTCCCCCCCACCCCACCTCTTCCTCCCCCCAGAGCACGCCGCGTCCCTGCTCCTGCACCTACCTCCCAGCATTGCCCACCTGGCTGCCACCAAACAGCTGCTTGGCGGCATTAGCACGCTCGGGGGGTGGGGAGGAGGAGCGGGAACATGGCACGTTTGACAGGTTGGGTCATAGAAACCCCTTGGGAACTGCCACCTGATGTGTCTAGACTACCTCTGAGCCTGTTTTTCCTGCCATCTTGGGACTTCAGTGCCTTGCCTTGTTTGAGCCAGACACGCTTGCCTGCTGCAAACACAGATCCAAATCTGAACCACGTCCCCCACAAGCTGCAGGCTTAACTGAAAACAGCTTAAGAAGTGCTCCTGTCTCCAGCAGTCAGATACCCAACTCCCAATGGGGTCCAAACCCCAAATAAATCTGTTTTACACTGTACAAAGCTTATACAGGGTAAACTCATAAATTGTTCACCCTCTATAACACTGATAGAGAGATATGCACAGCTGTTCCGACCCCCTCCCCCCCCAGGTATTAATAAATACTCTGGGTTAACTAATAAATAAAAAGTGATTTTATTAAATACAAAAAGTAGGATTTAAGTGGTTCCAAGTAATAACAGACAGATCAAAGTGAATTACACCTCTACCTCGTTATAATGCTGTCCTCGGGAGCCAAAAAATCTTACCGCGTTATAGGTGAAACCACGTTATATCAAACTTGCTTTGATCCGCCGGAGTGCGCAGCCCTGCCCCCCCAGAGCACTGCTTTACCGCGTTATATCAGAATTTGTGTTGTATCGGGTCGCGTTATATCGGGGTAGAGGTGTACCAAGCAAAATAAAATTAAACATGCAAGTCTAAGCCTAATACAATAAGAAAACTGAATACAGGTAAATCTCACCCTCGGAGATGTTTCAATAGGCTTTTTTCACAGACTGGACGCCTTCCTAGTCTGGGCCCAATCCTTTCCCCTGGTACAGTCCTTTTTCCAGCTCAGGTGGTAGCTAGGGGATTTCTCATGACTGCAGCCCCCTTTGTTCTGTTCCACCCCCTTATATATCTTTTGCACAAGGCGGGAATCCTTTGTCCCTCTCTGGGTTCCCACCCCTCCTTCTAAATGGAAAAGCACCAGGTTAAAGATGGATTCCAGTTCAGGTGACATGATCACATGTCACTGTAAGACTTCATTACACACTTGCCAGCACACAGGTATACAGGAAGATTTACAAGTAAACAGAGACATCTACAGACAATTGTCCTGGTTAATGGGAGCCATCAAGATTCCAAACCACCATTAATGGCCCACACTTTGCATAATTACAATAGGACCTCAGAGTTATATTTCATATTTCTAGTTTCAGATACAAGAATGATACATTCATACAAATAGGATGAATACGTGCAGAAGAACATAACCTTTGCACAGATATATTATATGGCATACCTAGCATAAAACATATTCCAGTTATGTCATATTTACATTCATAAGAATATTTCTATAAAGCATTATGGGATGCAACGTCACAGCGCGCTCAGGGGAGGAGGTGGGGCCGGGGTGGGGAATTGGGGAAGGAGTTGGAATGGGGGCAGGGAGGGGATGGAGTTGGGGCAGGGACTTTGGGGAAGGG